TGGGTCCCCACCAGCAAACACGCCGTCACCGTCTCGTACTTCTACGACAGCACACGCAACGTCTACCGCATCATCAGCCTCGACGGGTCAAAGGTCAGATGCGTCATGTGACTAAATGTTGCTTGCATTGTTTTCCAGCACAAATATCTAAACGTTCTTCAATCATTGACTGCAGAACCGCTGAGTTGTTTTTTTTGCCCCTTTGATGAATATTTCTTCACGTCTGCTTCTATTTAATTCCTTAAACTCTCTCGGTCTCCGTTCAGACTCAGTCCAGATCTGATGTTGCGCAGGAGTGTGAACAGCCAAACATCACATGAAGTGCTATTTGTACAAATGTGGAGTGTAGGGCTGGGCATCAGAAGCTTGTTTTATTACAGTTTCTGAACCTGAAAATCTTAAAGGTGCAGTGTGTGATTTTTAGCGGCATCTAGCGGTTCGGTTGCACTAATGGCTCCGCCCACTGCTCACCCCTCCCTTTCGAAGAAGTTACGGTGGCTCAAACGGGACAAACATATCGTCGTCTGAGACAGCAGAGAATAGCCAGAGTAAGCCAAGAGTGTGTAACACTGTCACTGTTACTGTACCACAGTCCATTATAAACCACATCATGGATACAGTTTACAAAGCCATAGTCAGGTGAGGATCAAGGGTTTATATATATAATATAATAATAGTAATCAGCTGATTGTCTCACGAACGTAACCTGCACATTCTCCCCACATAGCAAACCCATAATACAGCGAGGGAGAAGAACCACATGAAACTATGCAACTATATATGTTTTCTAACAGGGTAGTAAAAGTTTAGCTGGCTAATATGAGCTGTTATTGTGGCTGAGCTAAAGCGTAAAGCCTTGTTTAAACTCGACGCGTCCGCATGAGCGCAAAGGTGCGCGCGGCAGAAATGACGTGATCGTAACAGCGCGCGCGCCTCCGCATCCCCTACACACCACTACTACACACAATAGGCTTTTTTTCTCTGATTTTGAAAACTCTTCGCGATCAACTTACAATGCTTCCGAGATGGACTTGCCGACTGCGATCGACTGGTTGGTGACTCCGGTAACGTTACTGTTTTACGGTCAATAATGCTAATCAGCTGATTGTCAAAGCAATAACACAGCGAGGGAGAAGAACTAAGTTACATGAAACAATCCAACTACATATTTTACACCACTGACAAGGGAAAAGTCTCTACTCACGGTGTTTTATGGCTTCTAGCTTTCTGCGGCTTCTCTTTCAAGGTAGTGACGAAACGCGCTGTGTGTTCGCTGTGTGTTCGCTGTCGGCTACGGTAGAAACATGACGTCACATGTCGACCTTCATAGAGGGGGTGCCCGCGGTTATGGAGATATAAATGTCTCATTCTAAGGTAATAAAAACATAACGGTTCATTGAGTAAGGTCTTTATACACCACTGAAAACATAGTTATGGATCTTATATTGCATTTCTGTCAATAGATCCTCAGAAATATTACACATTGCACCTTTAAAACACTGTTTATATCAGTCGTATCTTTGTTCAGTTGTGTCTTTGTTGCGATTGTTCTTTTTTAATCACTGAGTGTTTTATTTAATAATAATAGTGTATATTAGTTGGGCTAGTTGTTCTTCTCTGGTGTGTTTAAATCTCAGGCAAACGCTCCTGTGTAAGTGTTCTTCAGCTGATGATTTCTGCTCATGATATTCAGCTGCGGTTACAGTTCTGCAATAACACTAAATGTGAATGATATCTAAGGGTTTTTACCTTATTGGAATCGAAATTAGGAATCGATAAAAAGTGGAATCAAAATCGGAATTGTTCAAACTCAAACGATGCCCAACTCTAGAGGTTTGAAATCCTATTGGAATCTCATTACTGTAAATGCGCTTCAGTCTCGGATCGGGTTCACTGTCGCTCTCGTGAACGCGTCAGACGGCTGATGTGTGTGTGTGTGTGTTTACAGGCCATCATAAACAGCACCATCACCCCGAACATGACCTTTACCAAGACCTCGCACAAGTTCGGGCAGTGGGCGGACAGCCGGGCCAACACCGTCTACGGCCTGGGCTTCTCCTCCGAGGCGCTGCTCAGCAAAGTACGCTCTACACACTCGACATGTTTCGGGAATGGGGAAGCGTGTGTCAGGAATGGGGAAGCGTGTGTCAGGAATGGGGAAGCGTGTGTCAGGAATGGGGAAGCGTGTGTCAGGAATGGGGAAGTGTGTGTCAGGAATGGGGAAGCGTGTGTCGGGAATGGGGAAGCGTGTGTCGGGAATGGGGAAGTGTGTGTCGGGAATGGGGAATCGTGTGTCAGGAATGGGGAAGCGTGTGTCGGGAATGGGGAAGCGTGTGTCGGGAATGGGGAAGTGTGTGTCGGGAATGGGGAAGCGTGTGTCGGGAATGGGGAAGCGTGTGTCAGGAATGGGGAAGCGTGTGTCAGGAATGGGGAAGCGTGTGTCGGGAATGGGGAATCGTGTGTCGGGAATGGGGAAGCGTGTGTCGGGAATGGGGAAGCGTGTGTCGGGAATGGGGAAGCGTGTGTCGGGAATGGGGAAGCGTGTGTCGGGAATGGGGAAGCGTGTGTCGGGAATGGGGAAGCGTGTGTCGGGAATGGGGAATCGTGTGTCGGGAATGGGGAATCGTGTGTCGGGAATGGGGAAGTGTGTGTCAGGAATGGGGAAGTGTGTGTCAGGAATGGGGAAGTGTGTGTCGGGAATGGGGAAGTGTGTGTCGGGAATGGGGAAGCGTGTGTCGGGAATGGGGAAGCGTGTGTCGGGAATGGGGAAGCGTGTTGCGGGAATGGGGAAGCGTGTGTCGGGAATGGGGAAGCGTGTGTCGGGAATGGGGAAGCGTGTGTCGGGAATGGGGAAGCGTGTGTCGGGAATGGGGAAGCGTGTGTCGGGAATGGGGAAGCGTGTGTCGGGAATGGGGAAGCGTGTGTCGGGAATGGGGAAGCGTGTGTCGGGAATGGGGAAGCGTGTGTCGGGAATGGGGAAGCGTGTGTCGGGAATGGGGAAGCGTGTGTCGGGAATGGGGAAGCGTGTGTCAGGAATGGGGAAGTGTGTGCTAGGAATGGGGAAGTGTGTGTCAGGAATGGGGAAGTGTGTGTCAGGAATGGGGAAGTGTGTGTCAGGAATGGGGAAGTGTGTGTCAGGAATGGGGAAGCGTGTGTCAGGAATGGGGAAGCGTGTGTCGGGAATGGGGAAGCGTGTGTCAGGAATGGGGAACCGTGTGTCGGGAATGGGGAAGCGTGTGTCAGGAATGGGGAAGTGTGTGTTAGGAATGGGGAAGCGTGTGTCAGGAATGGGGAAGTGTGTGTCAGGAATGGGGAAGCGTGTGGAAAGCGTGTGTCAGGAATGGGGAAGCGTGTGTCGGGAATGGGGAAGCGTGTGTCGGGAATGGGGAAGCGTGTGTCAGGAATGGGGAAGTGTGTGTCAGGAATGGGGAAGCGTGTGTCAGGAATGGGGAAGTGTGTGTCGGGAATGGGGAAGCGTGTGTCAGGAATGGGGAAGTGTGTGTCAGGAATGGGGAAGCGTGTGTCAGGAATGGGGAAGCGTGTGTCGGGAATGGGGAAGCGTGTGTCGGGAATGGGGAAGTGTGTGTTAGGAATGGGGAAGTGTGTGTCAGGAATGGGGAAGCGTGTGTCAGGAATGGGGAAGCGTGTGTCAGGAATGGGGAAGTGTGTGTCAGGAATGGGGAAGCGTGTGTCAGGAATGGGGAAGTGTGTGTCAGGAATGGGGAAGTGTGTGTCAGGAATGGGGAAGTGTGTGTCAGGAATGGGGAAGCGTGTGTCGGGAATGGGGAAGCGTGTGTCAGGAATGGGGAACCGTGTGTCGGGAATGGGGAAGCGTGTGTCAGGAATGGGGAAGTGTGTGTCAGGAATGGGGAACCGTGTGTCGGGAATGGGGAATCGTGTGTCGGGAATGGGGAAGCGTGTGTCAGGAATGGGGAATCGTGTGTTAGGAATGGGGAAGCGTGTGTCGGGAATGGGGAAGCGTGTGTCAGGAATGGGGAAGTGTGTGTCAGGAATGGGGAAGCGTGTGTCAGGAATGGGGAATCGTGTGTTAGGAATGGGGAAGCGTGTGTCGGGAATGGGGAAGCGTGTGTCAGGAATGGGGAAGTGTGTGTCAGGAATGGGGAAGCGTGTGTCAGGAATGGGGAATCGTGTGTTAGGAATGGGGAAGTGTGTGTCAGGAATGGGGAAGCGTGTGTCAGGAATGGGGAAGCGTGTGTCAGGAATGGGGAATCGTGTGTTAGGAATGGGGAAGTGTGTGTTAGGAATGGGGAAGCGTGTGTCAGGAATGGGGAAGTGTGTGTCAGGAATGGGGAAGCGTGTGTCAGGAATGGGGAATCGTGTGTTAGGAATGGGGAAGCGTGTGTCGGGAATGGGGAAGCGTGTGTCGGGAATGGGGAAGTGTGTGTCGGGAATGGGGAAGCGTGTGTCGGGAATGGGGAAGCGTGTGTCGGGAATGGGGAAGCGTGTGTCAGGAATGGGGAAGTGTGTGTTAGGAATGGGGAAGTGTGTGTCAGGAATGGGGAAGCGTGTGTCAGGAATGGGGAAGCGTGTGTCAGGAATGGGGAAGTGTGTGTCAGGAATGGGGAAGTGTGTGTCAGGAATGGGGAAGTGTGTGTCAGGAATGGGGAAGTGTGTGTCAGGAATGGGGAAGTGTGTGTCTCTGATGCTGGTTTCCGTCTGTCTGTAGTTTGCTGAGAAGTTTGCAGAGTTTAAAGAAGCCGCGCGATTAGCGAAAGAGAAATCTCAGGAGAAGATGGAGCTGACCAGCTCACCCTCACAGGTATAAACCAAACCATCACTGTGTGTGTGTGTGTGTGTGTGTGTGTGTGTGTGTGTGATTGTGTGTGTGTGAGAGTTTGTTTGAGTGTGTTTGTGAGAATGAGTTTGAGTGTGTATGTTTGAATGTGTGTTTGTTTATGTGTGTGTGTGTGTGATTGTGTGTGTGTGAGAGTTTGTTTGAGTGTGTTTGTGAGTATGAGTTTGAGTGTGTATGTTTGAATGTGTGTGTGTGTGTGTGTGTGTGATTGTGTGTGTGTGAGAGTTTGTTTGAGTGTGTTTGTGAGTATGAGTTTGAGTGTGTATGTTTGAATGTGTGTGTGTGTGTGTGTGTGTGTGTGATTGTGTGTGTGTGAGAGTTTGTTTGAGTGTGTTTGTGAGTATGAGTTTGAGTGTGTATGTTTGAATGTGTGTGTGTGTGTGTGTGTGATTGTGTGTGTGTGAGAGTTTGTTTGAGTGTGTTTGTGAGAATGAGTTTGAGTGTGTATGTTTGAATGTGTGTTTGTTTATATGTGTGTGTGTGTGTGTGTGTGTGTGTGTGTGTGTGTGTGTTTGTGTTTTTCTACTTCAACCTATTGACATGCTCAATCACATTGTCTCTCAAGCGCAAACCTGTGTCGTGCTTCCCGCGCTTCAAGGTAAGGAGCAAACGCTCACGAGCGTCAGAACCCGCTAACCGACTCCGACCCGTGAGACCCAGATCAAGCGTCCAGAACCAGTCCGTCCCAGTCCTCCCCAGTCCTCCCTCACTCCCGACACCAGTCCCTCCTCACACTCCTCTATCCCTGCAGCAGATCCTCTGTGATTAATGTGCTCTTGATTGTCATGAGATGTTTTCGTTTCTCTCACAATGTCGTTCAATCCCCCAAAACGAGCAGATCCGGGGCGCGTCGAAGGTAAGCCTGAGGCCGACGACCCTGACCTTTCACCCCTGATATTATCATCAGCTCCACTCTACTGTATTAATTCAATGTCAGATCTGTGTCGTAGGATATGAAGCGTGAGTTAATCATAATGATCGTAATGATGCGTTCCTACAAGAGCAGAGATTCATCCTGTGTAAAGATCATCGATTATGAAACAAATTTCATTTTACTCAAATAATTTCTCATCAAAACAAAGCAAAACATTTAAACACACTTCATGACGTGTTTGTACTGAATTTTATTAATGCTGATTTTGCATCGCATCAATTAGATTATTTAATGTTAGGCGAAACATGATGGATCTTCAGCTTCGTGGTTAATAAAAAAAAAATATATAATAATAATGATAAGTTTAATTTATTTATTTTCCCAAGCTCAAGTTGCTTCACAATCAACAAACATAAATACATCAAAAAATATTGTGAAATATATATTATATCAAATCATCAAATGAATGATTCAATGACTCACTCATAAAGAGTTGACGTGTTTCATTACTGGATGAATCAGCGTTTTTGAACGAATCTCTCGAATGAATGATTCAATGTTTCTAACAGTCTCTTGTCTCCACCTACTGGTGTAACGCTGTAACTGATACAATCTTCATTTGAAGCATCAAGTTTCTTTTAAAAGGTGATGTACTCTATTTTGAACGCTACTGTAAACATCAGTGAACTATAATCTTTTATCCCAGTACTTCTGTGATAATCTGAGTGATTGTAAGACAGAAATAATGAAACTGAGGTTGCAAAGGCTGTCAGTGAAGCGGTTTCACGACAACGGCTCTCTCTGGATCAGAACACAGATCTGAATATTCCTGTGATCGCACTTATCAAAGCTTTAACAGACAGAGGAGAATCACTGTCATGTGCATGAGTGTTGAAATAAAGATGGCAATCTCTTAAAAATTAAACGTCCAGCTAAATATATACATATAATCTGAAGATTTCATTCGAGTCGTTCTTTGTACACTTAAACTGTTTCGAACCATGATGTTTTTGATCAAACCATAGACAAACGTGTGTGTGTGTGTAACCAGTGATGTCAGAATGATGTGTAATGTGTTTGTGACTGTGTTGTGTGTGTTTGTGACTGTGTGTGTTTGTGACTGTGTGTGTTTGTGACTGTGTTGTGTGTGTTTCTGACTGTTGTGTGTGTTTCTGACTGTGTGTGTTTGTGACTGTGTTGTGTGTGTTTCTGACTGTGTGTGTTTCTGACTGTGTGTGTTTCTGACTGTGTTGTGTGTGTTTCTGACTGTGTGTGTTTGTGACTGTGTTGTGTGTTTCTGACTGTTGTGTGTGTGTTTCTGACTGTGTTGTGTGTGTTTGTGACTATTTTGTGTTTCTGACTGTTTTGTGTGTTTCTGAGTGTGTTTGTGACTGTGTTGTGTGTTTCTGACTGTGTTGTGTGTGTTTCTGACTGTGTTGTGTGTTTCTGACTGTTGTGTGTGTTTATGACTTTTTGTGTGTTTCTGACTGTATTTTGTGTTTCTGACTGTTGTGTGTGTTTGTGACTATTTTGTGTTTCTGACTGTGTTTTGTGTGTTTCTGACTGTGTTTGTGACTGTGTTGTGTGTGTTTCTGACTGTGTTTGTGACTGTGTTGTGTGTGTTTCTGACTGTGTGTGTTTCTGACTGTGTTTGTGACTGTGTTGTGTGTGTTTCTGACTGTGTTTGTGACTGTGTTGTGTGTGTTTCTGACTGTTTTGTGTGTTTGTTGTCAGGAATCGGCGCCGGGTGATCTTCATTCTCCTGTGACTCCAGAGAGCATCAACGGGACAGACGAGAGAGTGACGCCTG